CCTCTCACTGCAGACTCCCCACACACACCCCACCTCAGAGAGAGTAGATACCCACCCTCATACAGCAGTCAGTCCACGCATACAGCAGACAACCCCAACATACCTCACCTCAGAGTAGACACACACTCTCACAAAGAATACATGCTCCATACAGAGCAGACACCCCACACTCATCCACCTCTCACAGTAGACACAGCGCACTCAACCCACCTCTACCTCAGAATCCCCACAATCATCCCACCTCAGAGAGCAGACACCCACCCTCACACAGCAGTCATTCCATACAGACAGCAGACACCCAACACACATCCACCTCACAGACTAGAAACCCACCATCATATAGCAGTCAGCCCACACACATAGTGGACACCCCACACCTCACTGCAGGTACTGCACACACACCATCTCACATATCAGATACTCCACACCCATCCAACTCAGAGTAGACACCCACTCTCACACAGCAGACTCCCCCTACACACCCCACTTCAAACAGCAGACACCCCACACACAGCAGCCATCCTCCCTCACACACCAGTCAGTCTACACACAGAAGACACACACACACCCCACCTCACAGAGTAGACACCCACCCTCACACAGCATTCAGACCACACACACAGCCGACACCCCATAAACATCCACCTCTCACTGCAGGACACCTCATCCACCTCTCACCAGGACACCTCATCTCACAGTGTAGACACCCACCATGACACAGCGTCAGGCCACACACACAGCAGCAACCCCATACACATCCATCTCTCACTGCAGATACCCCATAAACACCCCACCTCACACAGCAGACACCCCCCCACACCTCACCTCACAGAGTAGACATCCACACTCACAACAGAGAAGACACTCCGCACACAGGGCAGACACCCCCCCACACGCAGCAGACACTCCATACTCACCCTACCTCACAGAGTAGACACGCACCCTCATACCGCAGACCATAGCAGATTTCCCACACACATCCACCTCCCACAGCAGACACTGCACACACTCCCCACCTCACCTCAGAATAGACACCCACCCTCACAAAGCAGACATTCCAAACATAAGCAGACATCCCTTACACACCCCACACCCCACTTCAAACAGCAGACACGGCACACAAACCGCACACCTCACAGCAGACACCCCGCTCCCTACTTTAAATACAGACACCCCACACCCCACCTCACAGTGTAGACAACCACCTTCACACAGCAGTCAGTTCACACACACACAGCAGACACCCCACAACATCCACCTCTCACAGCAGACACCCCGCACTCATACCACCACACACAGCAGAACCCCCCCCACACACCCCACATCACAGAGTAGACATCCACACTCACACAGCAGTTACTCCACACACACAGTAGACATGCCATGCACATCCACCTCTCACTGCAGATACTGCACATACATCCCACATCACTAGACACCTCCACACACACCCCACGTTATAGAGCAGACATCACAAGCATACCTCACCTCACAGAGTAAACACCTACCCTCACAGGGTAGACACTCATCACACAGAGCAGACTCCCCACACACATCTGCCTTTCACTGCAGACCCCCCACACTCACCCCACCAGCAGAGTAGTCACCCACCCTCATATAGCAGACACAGAACACACCTTCCACCTAAAAAATAGACACCCACCCTCACACAGCGGTCAGTCAACACACACACAGCAGACACCTCATACACATCAACCTCTCATTGGAGACACCCCCCACATATCCACCTCTCACTACAGACACCCCCCCATACCCCACCTCAAAGAGTAGATACCCACCCTCATACAGCCCACACACACAGCAGACACCACATACACATCCACCTCTCACTGTGGACACCCCCAACACACCTCACCTTACAGACACCCACCCTCACAGAGAAGACACTCCCTGCCACAGAGAAGACACACTGCACCCCCCCCACCCACCCTGCAGACATCCCACATTCACCTCACAGAGTAGACACACACCCTCTCACACACCCCACCTCAGAGTGGACACCCACCCTCACACAGCAGACACCCCATACACAGCAGACTCCCCACTCACCTAACAGAGTAGACACCCACCCTCACACAGAAGACACTCCTTACACAGAGCAGACTTCCACCTCTCACAGCAGACACCCCACACATATACTACCGCACACAGCACACACACCCCACCTCACAGAATATACACCCACCCTCACACAGCAGTCAGTCCTACACACAAAACAGATATCACAAACTCCCCACCTCACACAGCAGACACCCCAAACACACACCCTGCTTCAACTGCAGACTCCTCACACTCACCCACCTCACAGAGTATAAATCCTCCCTCACACAGCAGTCAGTCCACACAGAGCAGACATCCCACACATACCACCCACCTCACAGAGTAGACAACCATCCTCACACAAAAGTCAGTTCATACACACAGCCGACACCCCATCCACATCCACCTCTCACTGCAGACACTGCACACATACTCCACCTCGTAGAGCAGATACCCCAAGCTTACCTCACCTCACAGAGTAGACACCCACCCTCACAGGTTAGACACTCACCACACAGAGCAGACACCCCACACTCACCCCACCTCATAAAGTAGTCACCCAACCTCACACAGCAATCAGTACACACACACAGCAGACACCCCATATACATCGACTTCTCACTGTGGACACACCCCCCACACCCCACATACAACCCACCTCACAGAGGAGACACCCAACACACATCCACCTCACCTTACAGAAACCCACTGTCACACAGAAGACACACCCCACACACATCCACGTTTCACTTCAGAGACCCCACACATGCACACAGAGACACTCCACACCCACACAGCAGACACACCCCATTCACCCCACCTTACAGGGTAGACCTCCACCCTCACACAGAAGACATTCCCCACACAGAGCAGACACCGCAAACATAGCCCGCTTCACACAGCAAACTCCCCACACACATCCATCTCTCAAAGCAGACACCCCACCTCACCCAGACATCCTCCACATACACCAGACACCCCCAACAAACCTCACCTCAAAGGGTAGGCACCCACCCTCACACAGCAGTCAGTCCCATACAGCAGACACCTCACACATATCCCACCTCACTGCAGACTTCCCACACTTACCCCACCCTCACACAGCAGACACCCTAGACCACAGCAGATTCCCCACACACCCACCTCACACAGCAGACACCTTCCATACACAGATGACACACCACACAGAGCAAACACCTACACACACACCCCACCTCACAGAGTAGTCACATAGCAGTCCACCTCACACAGCAGACACCTTCCATACACAGATGACACACCACACAGAGCAAACACCTACACACACACCCCACCTCACAGAGTAGTCACATAGCAGTCAGTCCACACACACAGCAGATACCCCACACACCCATCTTTCACAGCAGACCCCAAAAACTCACCCCACCTCACAGATACCCCACCTCCACACACCCCAATTCACACAGTAGACCTTCCACACAGCATTCTCCCCACACACCTTACCTTACATAGCAGACATCCCCAACACACCTCAAAAAGTAGATACCCATCCTCACACAGCAGATACCCCTACATATCCCAGCAGCCTCCCCACTCACACACGCCCTACCTCACACAGCTGACACCCCACACACCCCTCCTCACAGCAGACACCCCGTACACAATGCACACACACCCAACCTCACAGCAGACATCCTAACACCCCACCTCAGACACCCACCCTCACACAGTAGTCACTCCACACACACAGGAGACACCGCACACACACGCACCTCTTACTGCAGACACCCCACCTCACTAGACACCCTCCACACACATCACATCTTACATAACAGACACCCACCCACATCTATCTCTTACACTGCTGTCAGTCCACATATACAGTAGACACTCCACACACATCCACCTCTCACTGCAGACACCCCACATACACCCGACCTCACTCAGACATACTCCACATGCACCGCAGACACCCTCCCTCACACAGCAGTCAGACCACACATAGTAGACACCTACCTTCACACAGAAGACACTCCCCATAGAGCAGACACCCACACACACCCCACCTCACACAGCAGTTACCCACATCACATACCCCACCTCTCACATTCCCCACCTCACACATACCCCACCTCACACAGCAGACACTCCATACAAACTAATTCACACAGCAGTCACTCTTTAATACCCCACCTCACAGAGTAGACATCCATTCTCACACAGTAGTCACTCCACACACACCCCACCTTACACAGCAGACACCCCCAACACACCTCACCTCACAGAGTAGACACCCATCCTCACACAAGAGGAGACACCTACACATATCTACCTCACATAGCAGACACCCCAACACACAGCAGACACAGCACACACAACCCACCTCACAGCAGACCCATCCACCTCTTACAGCAGACTCCCCACACACCCCACCTCAACTGCAGACATCCCACATTCACCTCACAGAGTAGACACACACCCTCTCACACACCCCACCTCAGAGTGGACACCCACCCTCACACAGCAGATACCCCACACACATCCCACCTTACTCAGGCCCTCCACACACACACCACCCTACACAGCAGACACTCCCAATACACCTCACCTCTCACAGCAGACACCCACATACATATGCCACACCTCAGTACACACCACACACATCCCCCTAATAGCAGATGGACCCATGCAGCCGCCCTATGCCAACACCCCAGCACACACCCCACTTACCTCTGAGACCCGGTCTGCCTCCGCACACAGCTGATAGCCCCGCATGCGCCCCACTTACCTCCAGTACCCTGGCATGTCCTGCATGCTCCCACACCCCCAGATAAGCCCCCAGCAGGGACGCATCCCCCCGCCTGGCCTTTGTATGTGGGGTGTGGGCCCTGTGCTGGAGGTGACTCGCCTGACTTCAGCCCTCCCCACTCACACATTGTCTCCCTCCTCCCCCCTCCCAGGTACGCGGGTACCCCACACTGCTGCTGTTCCGCGGAGGCCGCAAGGTGGGCGAGCACGGCGGGTCCCGGGATCTGGACTCACTGCTGGGCTTTGTGTTAGCCAGGGCCCGCGACGAGCTGTAGCCGTCGAGAGCTGCCCCTGGAGTAGCGCCTCATTCCTGTCTGCGCCCCCATGCGCCAGGTGCTGCCCCAGGCCGAGTTGGCAGCCACTGCCTCTGGCTGCCTGGGCTAACTGTGTCCCCAGTGGGTCTGGCACTGCCCTCCTGGCCTGTCCTAGGCCACCGTGGGCAGAGGGACACACCAGCCTCAGACACCCCAGGCACCCAGCGTCAAGTCAGCTGCCCAGCGAGGCCTGAGAGTGGCTGTGTGGACGCAGTGCCATGTGACCGAGCCAGGCCAATGGGTCGTCCACTGCTCCGGCTTACGGCTGCCAGTTGCCAGTCCCGGGGTTGTGGGGGTGGTGGACAGGCTGCCCCTTCGCCCTCATGCTCATGGGGCCGCAACGTGGCCTCAAGACCAAAGATGGATGGGCCAGGTGGTTGTGGCGGGTCAGGGCTTGGCCTGGGGGCTGATGTTGCGCCATGTAGCTCCTCAGTAGTTTTGTGGTGAGAGGGAGGTCACGGTAGGGAGGGGTCTGGCATGGGACCCCCATGGCGCTGAGGTACCCCACACTTACCTGTGAATCCCGTGTCCTGGCTGCTGCTGGCCTGGGTCCTCCTGCCTGTCGCTGCCCATCATGGGGGGCATCATCTGGCCCATTTGCCAGAAGGCCCGGGGTTGGGCCCGCAGCGTTGGGTGGGGGCACCCCTAGGCCATGCTCCCCACCTGGCACTGAGGCTCTGCAGCACCCCGGCCAGACCTGCCAGCCTCTGCCTTAAGGGACACCTCACGGCCATGCCAGTGACGGCCCCAAAACCCAGCCCTGCGAGGCACCTGCCTCCAAGGCCTCTGCTTTGCACCCCAAGTCTCATATTGGAAGAAAATGGAAGTGGTACAATTTGTTTACTAAACTTTCTAAATAAACTTTTTTTAAAAAAGGTCTGGTCTGCGCGTGACCGCACAACGCGTGACGTAAACAATAAGTTACAGCCCTGCCCAGATGCTGCTCGGCGCCACGCAGTGAGCGCCTGTCACTGCCTCAGCATGGAGTCTGGGCAGACTTGGGGGTGGGGGGAGGCGTGAGCGTTTGGGAGGCAGTGTGGAAGTGCCCAGGACGGGCTTCCACGGGTGCGAGCTGCCTCTGCACCTCCCCCCCCCCACAGGTGCCCACCTCTGCTCTGTGGAGAACACAGCAATGGGGCTCGGATGAGGTGTGCTTACCCCGAAAGGAGGCATCACACCTACAAAACCAGTGGACACGGGTCTCAGCCACATCCAGGCACAAGGCACTTCAGAGCCCATGGGTGGTGTGACCGGCGTGACTGACCTGCGGGAGGCGACCGGGGCAGGCCGCTCCCTCCCTGCCGTGCCAGGTGGGGCACCCAGTCAGTGTCTGCTAGTGGCAGCCGCAGGCCCGCACAGCCATGTTGCGGTACTTCTTGAGGATGACGTTGGAGTTGTCGTCGAAGTAGAGCACGGAGATGGCGTTGAGCTTGGTAGGCGCACAGCAGGGCTTGGGCACAAAGTCAGGGTTCATCAGGTGTACCTGCAGGTGGAGGCATCGGCTCAGCCAGGGTGACCCCACCCCGTGGTCATGTCCCCTGCACCGCAGCATCTGCATGATGGCATGGTTTGTGGCGTTCATGTCCCGCCCCTACACCTACTGACCAGCGTCTGCACGATGGCGTGGTTCGTGGCATTCATGTGCGCGTTCAGCGGGAAGGCACACTCGCCCTCGCAGTAGTTGGCAGCATAGCCTTTGGGCGCGATGATCCAGTCCTGGGGGGAGACGATGGCGGTGTATGCCCCTCCTGTGCTCCACACCCAGCTGCTGACCTGCAGTTCCCTGTGCTTGGGTGTGATGGTCATGCAGGGTGTGGACAACGGGTGGGGCTGGCTGGAGGCCTTGTGCCTCCGGCCGGGCAGGCTTCAAGGGCCATGAACAGCACTGGGCCTGGGTTCCAAGGGGCACAGAGCCAGAAGGAGCACCTGGAGGGCTGCCAGCCACCACCAAGCACGCGGCCAGCAGAATGGTGCTGCCTGATACTGAAGACCAGGTAGGTGATGCTACCGCCCCTGGGGGACCACAGGGACATGCCCTTGCCCTGATGACCCAACATGCAGCCTCTGCCCAAGCCCCAAGCCCTAGCCACCCTCCCCGACCACGCCCACCCTCCCCAGCCATGCCCCTCCCTGACTCCCACAGGCCACGCCCACCACCCGTGCCCTGCCCCCTTCCCTGCTCACCACAGGTCCCCCTCCTCCTGGCCCCACCCTCCCCCTCACTGCCCCTCCCTCCCTGTGTCACGCCCAGCCCCCCCCACTCCCTGCCCCGCCTTCCCTAGATCCCGCCCATACCAGGCCCCGCCCACGAGCACCCACCTGCCAGCCCAGGTCCTGGAAGCTCACGTACAGCTCTCGCTTCCTACAGGCAGTCTTCAGCTCGCTGCTGCTGCTGCTGCTGCTGCTGCTGCTGCTGCTGCTGCTGCTGCTGCTGCTGTAATCTGCAGGGACGGGAGGCACCGAGTGCTGAGTCTCACCCGCTGGCGGCTGCTGGCTCCACAGCTGGGAAGGCCGGACACAGGCCTGATGGCTGTGCCACCCCATCCAGCGCCCAGCGCAGCCCAACTCCCACGGGTGGGTCCTGCTCAGAGACCCCTAGGAAGTGCAGGGGGACCTGCCCATGCGCCAGGGACACAAGGGGGATGGCTCTGGGGATGCGCTGGGGATGTGCTGCACCGGGAGGGTGAAGGGCACAGGGAAGGCGGGTGTGACTGCCCCTAAAGCCACACCCTCGACCTGGAGGCGGGTTCCCTAGGACTCTGTCCCTGGACTGGGGCCCCTGGACCAGCATCGTAAGTCTCAGTGCTGGTGGGGTCTGGGTGGGGTGCAGGTGGGGTTTTGGTGTTCACACCCAGTACCTCCTCGCCCCAAAGCATGACAGAACATGGGGGACAGACAAGTAGCCCCAACTCCATACCGGGGAGGAGCAGTCGGCACCGCCTCCACCCTAGCCCCCATGGCCACCCAGGAGCACAAGGGCCCCAGAACGGCTTAGGCCTGGAAGGCCACATGCAGGCGGGGATAACGCATGCCCCATGAAAAGGAAGACTGGGCATCTGGGAACCTTCTAGAACGGAAGTCCATGTCTAGCTACTGAGATGCAGAGGGAGCCATGCCTGGCCGCCATGGCTCTTGGCTGCCCACCCCTTTCCCCACCCCCTTCTCCGTGGCCCAGACCCTGGCCAGACGCCGGCCACCACCTACCCACAGCTACACCACCGCCCCTGGAGAGGGACTTGGGGTGCTGGAGCCTGGGCACCAGGGGCTCTTTCTCCACAGTCCCTCGGGGCATCCCATGAGTGACCACACCTGAAGGGCAGCCGTGGGCTCGTACCATGTCCCCAAAGGCAGAGGGACGGCTGGATGGCAGCCCCAGGAGGGGACAGCAGCTGCATGTCTGTCTGGGCCCGGGGGCGCGAGCACATTGTTGGGCACGTGGCCAGCCTGGCAGCCCACAGGCCCAGGGTGGCCCCCATAGCCCCACAGCCCGACGGCCCCTGCCGAGCTGCGGCTCCCGAAGGCATCACTCAGCTGCCAGCCCCCAGTTCACCAACAGCTCTGGGAGAGAAGCCCCAGCTATCAGCTGAGAAAGCTGCCCTGGCACCCCATGGCCAAGTCTGCCCTCCACATCAGGGGACATTGGGTGGTCTCCACTCAGGGCCCACCCGGCCAACAGCCTAGACACCCTGCTCTCAGGAGAGCCCAGGAAACCCAGACCTCCAGCACGGCTCTGGGGACACGTCTCGGCTGGGCTGGGCTGTCCTGGCTCTGGGAGGCGTTCGGATGCTACCACTGCTCCCAGCACTGCTGTCTGTATCCCAAGAGGCACGGCTGGAAGGGGCCGCCCTTTCCCCCACAGAAGCGCCCCTAAGAAGTCTACACTGCAGTGGACCTGGAGAGGGGAACCCTTACCCCCGAGGGAGCCCCAGAGTCCCCAGGGGAACAGGCAGCGCAGCGGGGTCCCCAGACTCCTGCAGAGGGTGAATGGCAGGACTGTCCAGAGGGTGCTGGCCACCTCCCAGCCTAGCTGAGTACCTGGGGGAGACTCAGTTAAAGCACTGGGGTCTGACCCCTGGGTGCCCCCACAGGGAGAGGGGCCTGAGAAGCCTGACCACACAAAGGATACTTTTTGGGTAAACAGACCCTGGGGGCCCGAAGCTTTTTCCCTGCCCCAGCCCCCCGCACCCCCGACCAGATGCCTGGCACCCCTCAGATGTACCTGAGGCGCTGGCCATGGCCGGGGGCTGTGGGGGGCGGGTGCGGCTCTGCTGCCGGCGCCGTCCAGGGGCCGACCTTGTGGTACGCACGTGTGCCTCGCCGACCTTGAAGAAGGCCACCAGGAATGGCTGCTTGTCCTGCGGGCCATCCCTGCCCACCAGGCCGGCGTCCCGGGGCGTGACGCTGAGACCTGCAGGCAAATCAGGCAGCCTTAGGCCTGCACCCCCTGGGGCGCGACATGGCCTGGCTAGGGTGCAGCCCGCCACTCTCCACCTCCACTTGGTTACTGCCCCACCCCCTGGCCCAGCCCACTGACACCCCCACCCCCCGGCCCAGCCCACAGATACCGCCCTCCGCCTCCCACCCAGTCACCCTGGCTCACCATCCTGCGTGGCCACGCTCAGCTGGAGACCCCTATTGTGCTGCGGGGTCACCACCCACAGGCTACTGGTAGCCGTGACGTCAAACTCCAGCCAGCCTGCCTCGGAGGCCCAGGCCACCCGGGTATCCAGTAGGAACAGGTCAGGATCTCTGCAAAAGCGCACCCAGTGAGCACCCAGTGGGCCAGGCTCACCCACCCACAGCCTGCAGGACACCAAGACTGGACACCAACACTGGGCCTCAGGCAGGGCTCCCTCCCAGCAGCTCTGTGACACCATCCAGGAGAGGTGGGTATGCGGGTCTCCTGGACTCGCTTCCCTGTCCTGTCCCCTACCCTCTCAGTCCTGGCCCCCGCCCACTCCGTTGTGTCCCCCACCAGCCCTGTCTTGTCCCCTGCCCGCCCCGTCCTCAGCCCGCTGTGCTGCCCGCAGCCCTCCTGGGGGTCCCCTGGCCAGCAGGTGCAGACGACAAACAGTGCAGGGGAGCTAGACAGTGCGCAGACAGTGGAACACACAGGTGGACATCCAGACCAGTCATGCTCTCGCTCATGGGGGCAAGTAGGTTCCAGGCAGAGGACAGCGTGGGAAGGGCAACATGGACGCCAGGCCCCCGCACGTGGCAGCCAGAGCTCCTGGGAACACGAGCTGGTGCCCCTCCTGGTGGCCCCCACACACCCCAACACTTCTCAGGGCATCCCCTGAAGGGGGTGTGGCCGGGGCCGGCCCTCAGGCCAGTGGTGGGGCACCGCAGGCCAGAGAGGGTCCTGGCCTCCTGGGAGGGGCCCTGCCCTGCTTTCCAATAGCAGTAACCCAGCCGTGGGAGACACTTGGGGGAGGCCCAGCAGGGCAGGGGCAGCTGGATTCCTCGTGGACACCACACCCACTCAGTTCCCCACTGGGCACCCATAGGTTCTGCTCTGCCCTGATCACAGCCCTGCAGATGGCCACTGTCACTGGCCCAGTGGGCCAGTGGGGGAAACTGAGGCAGACACACAGTGCCAGTCCCGGCCATGCACACAGCCTGTATGTGGGAGCAAGGCCGAGCTCGCCCCTGGGGTCATGAGAAATACGCAGGCCGCCCCCCCTTCCACATTCCTCAGTGGGCCAGTTGCACTGGAACGGGGAGCAGCTCCCCTTTCACTGGCAAGAGCAAGGAGGAAGCTGTTGCCTTCCAGGCGCAGGCAGTGGGGCAGACCACGTTTACTCAGCTGCGCCGTCTCTTGACAGCACCCCCACGGAGCCTGGATCACGCCCCTAGGACAAAGAACCCCCTGGCCAAGTGGCCATGCCACAGAAAACAGAGTCAGTGCTTTGAAGTCCAGACGGGGCGGCCTCCTATGAGTGCAGCAGAACCATGTCCAGAAACAACACAGTGCCTGTCGGCCACAGAGACCACTGGATGGGGACCGGGGCGTCTGCATCCCTCCACTGTTGGGCCGGAGCCCTGCTCTACATGGTCTTGGGTGAGGACGTGTGGTCCTGCTCTTTACGCAGCCACCAATCCCCATCCCCCAGGGGATGGGCACCAGGCATCAGTGGCAGTTTGGGGTGCTCAGACCCCAACAGGCAAGGGCTGGGGAAGGAGGCTGGGACAGTGTGTCCAGGTGGCCTCCGAATGTGGTTGGCTTCTTGGGCCCAGAGCAGCCTGTCGCTGCAAGGCTGGCATGTGCTGGCCACAGAGGCCCTAAGAGCCGCTGGGCCACATGGCCACCCCAGGTCCGGGGCGGGCAGTGGCCATGTGCAAGGTGCTCGAGTTGGGCAGAGGGGCCTGTGGTGGGCAGCAGAGACTCCGTGTCCCCAGCTGCCTGCCAGTGGGGAGCCCCTCTGTCCTTGCTGAGCAGAGGGCCACCCCTGGAGCTCCCACCAAGTGAGGCTGCGGGCCAGGTACCCCTGGAGGCATGAAGCAGCGCCCCTGAATCTGCCCAGCACCAGCCGGGTCTGCAAGCCCCTGGACTTCATGCCCAGAAGGAACCTCCTGGGTCCCGACTACACGCCTACCGCCCTGCGCTCACCTGGAGGTGCTTGGGGACAGCCCCTTGCTGGCCTCACCCAACGCCCCACCTCACACCACGGGCAGCAAGACCTGGAGGACCCCACTGTGCATGCCCCCAGGCACCCTCACACAGCCACCGTCCTCACACGCTCACGCGCGTGTCCTGCCAGAACTAATACCATAAAAGGAGAAAGAAATCACCCAGAACTAAGAAAAAGATTGACAATATTCTACCCTGTTTTCTAATTTTAAAAACCTCTACCAATGAGGAATAGAACAGGTTTTTCTTAATTTGATTAAACAGTATCTGCAGAAACATTTACATCAAATATCACCCTTAAAGGTGATTTCTAACCTTTCCCCACAAAAGTTAGAAATCAGATGGGGCTTTTGATCTGCGATTAGAAGTTAAATTCCATTCTCCACCCAGAAGGGAAATGTAACAGGAGCCCAGCAACCTCGAGACTGTGGTGGCATTTGCTCCTCAGAGCCTTTTTATGCAACAGAATCCAGACTGAATTGTGGAATGGACCAATCAGGGTTGAGCTATGAGCTGACTAGTGCTAAATGGTCCAATCAGCCATAGGATTGAAAAATGATCCAATCAGACTTGTGGGTGGGACGCCCGGAGAGAGTATGTAACCCAGGGTTGGTGGCAGCTGAGGAGAAATGATGCCAGCCCCCTAAGCCGAAGGGACTCTGGGTCAGCCCCTGGAAAGATGGTTCTAGCCTCTGAAGGAAGAAAGAAAAGGAAATCTCCACTCCTGGCCTCTGAAGAAGAAAGAACCTCCTAGGAGGGAAAAGAAGCCAAAGAGCTTTGCAGGGATAGGGCCTCAGTCCTGCTCGGTCCTGGCTCTGCCTGAAGGGAACCCAGAGCCCTGGCCTGGCATCTCAAAGAGCTATTTGTTGCTAGTGACACTCAGCAATTCTCAAAGAGCTGTGAGCACTGGGTGCCCTGACACCACCTCTGTGGGGCCAGTAATGACCATCATCACTGGCCAGTGCTGTCCGGCACTCCTGGTGACCGATGGTGAACATCACTGATGCTATCTGGGCAAGAAGCCACCACCGGTTGCCACGGTGAACTCTGTTTCACAATTTGTAACTGGACCCAGCAGTTGCTGTCCCTGGAGCCTGGGTCTCCCACAGCTGTGCAGGTGGTGAGACCCCCAGACACTGCCCTGCCCGCCATATGTGGGTACTGTAGTGCTATAGCCCTTTGGGGCATTTTGGCAACTCTATTGCCTCAGAGCCAGACAGGTGGTTAGCCGCTACCTCCTCCATCTGACCTTTCCCCTCTGTCCACCAGAACCCAACATAGTATAATGAAACAGCAAAAAAAAAAAACAAAAAATTATGTAAAAATTTAAAAAGAAGGAATAAGACTGATAATCAGAGAATATACATAATTGTATTTATGGAAATGGCAAAATACGACACAAAAAAGGCAGCAGAATGTGCCAGGCTGCAGGGTAGGGGCCACCAGAGACTGCGTTTTCCTCTGGGCAAAAGCGCAAGTCACGGAAATGTTTAAAACTAGCACCACTTACAAAGAGCATCAAAGCTTCAGTATCTAGGCTAAGTCCATTAAAGCCATTCCAGACACAAAAGACCAGGCCTTTAAGAGAAAGGAAGGAAGTGGCAGGCGCCAAAGGCTGAGTAGATAACCACATTCCTGGTAAGAGCCAGTTTCCTAAATTCCGCTCTGGATTTAAAGCAACTTCTCAGAGTCCCGCATGCACGTTTCTCTTTTGCAAACTGAGTTGCTGATGTAGCCAAGACGACCTTGAGCACACTGAGAGGCCTGCACCAGCCAGCAGGGCTTTCTGGAAGAGCAAGAATGAGCAGGCTGTACTGGTGCAAGAGGGGAGGTGTCAATGGAGACGGCGCGGCCCTGAGAGCCCATGCAAACGCCTGCTGGACAGCACTGGACAGACATGGTGGGGGAGGAGGGTCAGCACCAGTGGCTGGAGTGGCATCTGCTCTCTAGCTTTGCTGCCTCATCTGCTTCACACTCGCCTGTGGCTTCAGCATTCTGCATTGGAGACAGAGACTCTGAGGGGCTTTGCAGCTGGCCGCCAGGAGGCTGGGTCCCATCTGACACCCACTCTCTTCCCTGACTGCTTGGCCCCACTGCCAGCCGTCAGGCCCGCCCAGCACAAAGGCTAAGATCTGGCAAAGTGCAGGTCTGTCCTCCCACGTTGGTGCCTCTTTGGAGGCCGCAGGCTCTTGCCAGAGTGCGGGCCAGGGGCGGTGACTCCCCAGCTCCCAGCTAACGCCTTCCTGCTCTCACATGTCTCCCCCATGGAGGCTGAAGTGCAAGAGGCTCGCACTGAACTTCTAGGAAATTAAAAAAAAAAAACAAACTGAACAGCTTCGTGTGCAGACAGTGAACAGCCTCCAGCAGGAAGGACGAGATTGAGGCCAAAATGAAGGAAAAGCTGCTGTGTCTCTCTGAAGATGGCAGCCTGCCTTCCGCCCCCAGACAGGTGGAGGACATGGGCACCCAAGGCCACCCAAGGGCCTTCCCAAGCCGGCACCGCCGGGCACCCAGCTGGGCTCCTCCGATCCGAAGGCACTTCTGAACGCACTCCGACAGTTTCCGGCAGCTGCCTGCCTGTCAGGGAGCCTAGCGCTGTGAGGCCACTGTCTGCAGCTGAGGCGGGCCATGGGGACGTGGACGGCACTTGCGGGGTCTCGGCGCAGGCTGGTGGAGGCAGCAAGATGAGCGGGGCGCCAACCCACATGTAACACTGGGGGAAACACTAGCTCCCCCTGCGCCCCAGCCCCCACCCCCCAGTCCATCTCCCCCAAACCGCCCCCAGCCCAAGTCTGGTCGCACAGGTGCCCGTAGGATGCCAAGGAGGCCGGAGGCCCACAGGAGACCTCAGGGACAGGTGCCCCAGGGCTGGCTCTCGCTGCCCTCTCAGGACTGTTCCGCCTCCGGTGACTTCGGGGAGACAGGAGAGGGCTCCAGTGTGTGTGGACAGAGCAGTAGCTGGCCCTGGCTCCTCGCTCCTCGCACCCTGCTCATCCCAGGGCCACAGCTGATCCCCACTGAGGACAAGCAAAACAAGCGAGATGCTCCTTCCACACAGCGTGGCCTGTGCACCCGGGTCATCCAAACGATGCCACGGCCCTCAAGAGTGGTGTGGAGAGCAGCTGCGAACAGACCTGGCCGTCATCACGACGTGCCTGCGTGCCTGCTGCTCACGGCATCTCTGCAACAGGGCAGTGTCCACAGCACTTGCAAAGCCCTGTCCTGCGGCTCCGTGGACCCTCAGGCTGCAGATTGCACAAGGGCACAGGTCAGACGACTCTGAGCCCTGGAGAGGGGTCTGGAGAAAGGTGTGCAGTAAGACCTCCAAGGGCCCAGATGGGGAGGGCATCTCCCCTGGACCCCCGCTGGCAGGGTAAGGGTGATGCAGAGGCCTGGACCCCTGCCCACAACTTCTCCGGGATCTTGCGCCAGCTGGACACCACTTAGGTTCACCCCGTCCTGGATGCAGAGCATCCTGCCTGGGCATCCTCCTGAGGGACGCCTGGGACTGCTCTCCTCGCTGCCCCTGCCCAGCTGCTCCAATGGGCACATCGCCCTGTCTGCCAGCACTTGCCTAAGACACGATTGAAACATTCTGCCTGCTTATGTGACATGTCTCCTGCCAAGTAGCGAAAACCCAGGTTTCTGGATTTCTGAACCCAAATTTCCTTCAGAGACATGAAACTGGGGGATGACAGGGCCACTCCAGAGAGATGGACAGTAGAGCAGCCCCTGGGAGGCAGGACTCTGGCCTGAGCACGTCAGAGAGGTTCCTGCAGCCATGCGCAGACAGCGGGCCTGACCCACGCGCCAGAGGCCGCATAACTGCCCATCTCAGTGCTGGGCAGCAGGCAGGAAACACCACGGCCAGGCTGCATGTGCTGCCCAGGCCAGGCCTGTCTGTGCTGCCCAGCACAGGCAGGCGGGAGAGTCCCACATCACCGTCCAGCCAAGTCCACAAGGAAACCCCTGGGCGGTCCCAGGCAGCCTGGGGGTCCCGGGCAACGGCACACAGCAGATGCTGGTCCATCCCAGGCCCCGCGTGGAGTGGGGGACGCCCTGCCTGCTAAGACCCCACCAGCACCACAAGTGACCAGGCCAGGCCCGCAGGGTCATGGCACACAGGCCAGGCTCGCTCACCACACACAGGAGAAGCCAGCTGCTGCCCAAGCCTCAGCATTCTGGGGACACGAGTGGGTTTCCGGGGCAGCAGCAGGGGCCCTCACTGGCCACAGTTCGACCGACACGGGTCCCCCTGCCACACCCTGCGCGAGTTCTGTTTCTCCAGGCTGGCGCTAGCATTCCCGGCCCGCCCCTGCCTGCCTGGCCCCACTCCTGGCCCCTTGGCCCTGCCTCCGCTGCCTACCCCTACCCCTGTCATCCCAGGCCCCACCCCTGCCCGCTTAGCCTCACCCCTGCTGACCAGGCCCTGACCCCACCCCCACACAGGGACACTTGCAGCATCTCCAGTGGCCCTGTTGTGACCTTGGGGGAATTCACCCCCACACTGGCCATCTAAAGCAGGGACCACCAGCCATGGGAACGCTCACCCCAGTCCCCCGGATGCCTTAGAGCTCATAGAGGGACTTGAGGAAAGGCCTTTCGGGAGTCTGCCCCTGGGGGAAGGGGGGCTGAAGCCCACGGAACCCCAGGGTCTAGGCGACCACCGGCCGCCTACCTGTGTGGACGCTCCTGCAGCACTTGGTAAACGCTGATCACGAAAGTCTGGTTTCTGAAGCCGCCCACAACACAGTCCTTGTAGATGCGCAGCTCGGCTGCCGTGACCGCCTCGCCCGCAGGTGTGTGGGACAGGTTGAACTTGAACTGCCTGTGGTGGCGCTGGCGCGGGGGGCGTGCATCGTCGGACTCCACTGCAAGGCCAAAGGAGAGAGAGTCAGGGCGGTGGCTGGGCTGCAGGCCAGGCGTCCCCAGGCCAGACGCCACCCACCTGTCCCCAGCCCTCGCCTGAAGGTTACTGCTGTCACCACACACTCGGCTGGACGGGGTTGCATGAAAGTGAGTTCCCCAGACCCTGGGCTCGGCTGATCCCCGCACAGCGGGGCCACAGAGGACACCTGGGGGTTCCTGGGGGCCAGGAACCAGGGCCCCGCTGCTCTGCACCCTCCCAGCTGCTCAACCACCCACAGCCTGAGGCCCTGAGGTGCTGGGGGGACGAGCTATGCCTCTGTGGCTGGGGCTGGGGCTCAAGGGGCCTGGACTGTCCAACAACGCAGCCCAGGACAATGAGCCCCTCCTCGACCAGGCTCCTGACTACCTGGCAGGACCCTAAGCACCCTGAGCTCCCCAGCAGCCTGTGGGGCACATGAACCATCGGGGCCCCCAACCTCCAGTGCCAGGGTCCCCACAGGTCCAGGGCCTCTCAGCGACAGGTCCCGCCATGCTGGAGCCTGCTCGGAGGGCCCCAGACAGCGGGGCCAGGGAGGGACGGACGGGAGGGCAAGAGGGGTTGGATCTTGCCTATGATGAGCTGCCCAGGGCCGGTGGGCCACCCCACTGCCGGCCCCCCACCACCTGACTCCGTGATCTCCGGGGGGGCGGGCGTAGGAAGCAAAGAGGGAAACCCCCTTGCCAGCCCCAGCTGAGCCCCCAACTCCAGCCCTGTACCCCCAGATCTGCCCAACCTGGAGGGGCCTCCCGGCCTGAGTAGGGAGCTGCAAGGCCCAGAGGAGACCTGCCGAGTGGGGCGCCTGGTAGACCGACTGGCAGGTCTTGGGAACTAGCCTTGCCGAGCTATCTCCAAGTGGACGCAGCCCATCCCCAGCTCTCAACGTCCATTCTCAAGGAAGCTGCCGCAATGGACAGACGTCACGCGGGGTTTTGAGACGTATTCTGACTTGGGAGAATTGTGCTGCACGTAAAACAGCTGCAGAGGTTTCGGGATCTGCACCCGGTCCCAGGTGGTGACCCGCGGGCACTGCCCAGCCCCCTCCGCACTCTCCCCACCAGTCTCAGCCACTCTCAGCCACGCTCGCCAACTGCCAGGGCTCCCACGACTGCTGCAGGCCCCGCCCTGCCTCGCCACTGAGTGGGGACCCACCCCTGGGCGCCTCACAGCCAGACAGCCGGGGCACCTGCATACACGGGCTGGGTCCCACCATGCTGCTGCCACCAGCGGGGTCCCCAGGACACACCGGAATGAGGCACAGCGACCAGCCACATGGGCTCGCCCAAGACAGCACAACCCCATGCAGGGGCCATGGACGCAGAAGCCCACCCGGCAAGGTGGCGCTGGCCGGTCTGATGCCGACGTCCCCGGGCAGGGACCCCGGACGTGGGAGCCCATGCAGACGAGGTGGCACTGGCCGGCCTGAGGCCTGGACAGCTGCTTCAGGAAACTCTGTGACAGGAGCCCTGCGTGGGCGTGCGGGCACAGGGCGGCGGGCGGGCGTGCGTGCTCAGAACCACGCAGCCTGGTCCGTGCCTGTATGCACGCGCCACCGGCACAGCTGCGTCCCCTTCCCTCACCGTCTCCTCCGGCCAAGTCTCGCAGCTCGCCCTGCCGTATGTCACGACGTCACCACAAATGACGCTTCACCGCCTAATTGCCCATGTTCTCACAGCTGGACCAGCTGCCACACGGAGCCCTTCAGAAGTCGGGATGTCTTGCCAACTTCAGATGTTTATGTTTGCACCACGGGCGATCAGCTCGTTAAAAGGACCCTTCCCCCCC